CATTTAAGCATTTTGGTCCAAAATTTGAAAAGCACACTTAAGATTGGTCCTGTTGCTGACATGATTCCAGAAGGAAACAGATATTAGTTTGCCCCTTGACAATACTCAGAAAAACAACCAAAGAAAAAGCCAGCAGCAGACAGCTTGTTTTCCTTTCTACTCTAGACTTTTGTTCCTCTGGTACCTTGAGCAATCCAACAACGGATAAATTCCTAATGCATGAGATATACAAAACTTGAGAGCCCACAGCATTGTGTGCTCATTACCAATCATAACGATAAAAAACCATAATGGAGTATTGTACTAATAGCCACAACTGGCAAAATAATACGATGGGAAATTGTAGCCTCTATGCCTTATCAGCAGAGGAGTGGCAGTCTGCTCTATTCAGCCCATGCACAGCTCTGCCAGAGAGCAAAAGGAAACAGTGTCCCCATTCTATCTTTCTGAATAGCAATGCTGTGTTGTTGTATAAGTGTCAGGAAGAGACAATCCTTCATGAGATCTTTACCACAGCACTTCTATGGTTATAAAGAGTGAAGACGTGCAGACAGAAATTTTATAAAATTGAGAAATCTGCATGTTGATCTAAATTCTGCCTACATACCAGTAGCACTGCACTTGAAAGATCTTTGTAATACATACTTACACTGTCTCAGCTTGCTGCAATTTAGACAGAAGGGCTAGAGCTAGGAGCAAGAGCTGCAGCAAAAATAAGTTTTCACATTTGTAATGGACATCCCTTTTTGCTTTTTGCTCATGTCACTGCAGAGGCCATCAGTTACCTCAGGTCATTTACATAAAAGCAAGCAGCCAGAACAAAATTATATATTGGTCCATCAAGAACAAAACAGAGATGGTCAAATATTTCTCCAATTATATTTCCACTTATCCTAGTATAACATACTGGATCTACTGTATGTAGACTCCATCCAAAGTCTTGAGTCAAAAGGATTCCACCATCCCCACCCCCATTGGTTTTCAATAACTTTAATTTGGCTGTTTACAAAATCCAGTTCATACTGAGGACTGCAATGATGATTTCCAGTTTCAGAAACACCAAGTTTCTGGAAATCATCACTGGAGGAACACCAGTGGAAGAATTGCTACATAGCTGTCACACTCTTCCTTAACCATTGCCAATGGGCTAAACAGTCTTGCCTGACTCATTACAGGACTGTGTTCTCAGGCAATTTATTAACCTGCAGACTGTCCACAAGGCAGAGATGGAGGCCTCGGGTTTCAGTCATGCTGAATTCCTGGGCTGTAACAGGTTTATAGCTATTGCCTCTTGCAATTATTAGGATTGATTCTTATTTCTTCCTGCACCACAATCAACAAAAGCAAGGGTAATCATAGAATCATTAAGGTTGGAAGAGACCCTTAAGATCCAGTCCAACCGTTAACCTATCACTGCCAAGTCTACCACTAAACCATACTACTTCCTATTAATTCATGGGAAAACTTTAGGGTAAATAATTTTTTCATTATTACAATGAAATACAAAAGGCAGACAAAGTATACTGGTTCACTTAAACAGGACAAAGCTGAATCAACTATTCAAGACAATCAAATACAAGTGGTAAAAATGGACTGATGATTCCACCTGAACAGAGTTCAACACAAGAATCCAACGTCAAAGGTTACATCTTTAATATCTGTAACAGGTTATATCTTTCAAAATAGCAGTAAGAGTCAGTAACCATATTCTACCAAGAAGAAACAGAAGATCAGTGATGGCAGCAACAGTCAGAAGGAACAAGGTAGAGAGGAAAAGATGTATCTGATAACCCAGCCATTCTGCTGCCACATAAACATTACTGAAAAGTGAAATGAAAATATTCGCTGCATCCAGGCAACAGGGAGAGACACAGAAAACTCAGCTGTAAATACTAGAACTATCCATTGTGCAGTAGAGAACAGTTTTCACGAAGCCTATTATTCTATTTTTCATGAAGCCTATTATTTTATATACTTTTGCATGCTTGAGCAAACACTCCTCTCAAAGCGCATAATGAAGTAATACTTATTTTTTAATTGGACAGGCACAGTGTTTGCAACAGACTGTACCTGTTTATCTGCCTGTGTACTAACCTTCTCTTTTCCCATGGAACATCACTGTTAAAGTTGGTTGCAATGACATGGAGTTTTTAGAATATTACACATATTAGAAACTGAGCTGTTTACATTGGGGTTTTTTTGCTGTTTTCAGTAAGCAACAAAGAGGAGCTGTCTGTTCTGTTGGCATTCCCTATAGCTTCCCTATAGAAAAAAATTCTATAATTAAAAAAATGATAATATTTCTATGAAGAAAAATAAAAGATAGAAAAGACTACTTAAAAAAAAATCCTCCCTCTTCAACATTAAGAAACTCCCCCCAAAAAAAACCCCAAAAAACTTTGTCAAAAAAGACTTTTGAATTAAAAATCACCTGATTTCATGTCTGAACCTATTATTTCTCAAGAGTTTATGACACGGTGTTAAAGTCTGAGCATTTATCCCAAAAATTATATTCTTACTGATGTTACTGTAATTTTTCCACTGCTGAGCCATCATTACAAGGTCTTTTTTGTGTACCTGCACCCATTGCAAAATTAAAGGATCAAATATTTTCATTCCAAATGATTAGAGATAGAAAACTACTACACCTTTTGTTTCTCTGTTTGTAAACTAGCAATACAAATTTACTGTGATGATGATCTTTGCTACATACCAAATAGTATTTTATACTTAGCTGACAAGATTCTTGTTACTCTAGGCACACATTTGTGCAATATGGTAATGAAAACCTGTTACGTGATTGTAGTTATGATAGAGTGAAGTTAGAATCCATAATATATTAAGTACTTTTCTAGTTACAAGCATGTGCATGGCTCTGTTCCAGAAAGACCTGGGGCTAAAGTTAAAAAAACCCAAACCAACAAAACCCAGCAAAGAAACCCCAAATCCAAGCCACTGACAGATAAAAGGGAAAATGTGAATAACCTTGCTAAGGAGGTAACTGTATACAGCAGTATACAGAATTGTTGAGTAAAAACCTTTTTGTTTCTCCTCCCCAAATAGGAAAACAGAAAAGTTTACTTGCTAGCATTTGTGTCAGGTACACAGCAACAGTATTTATTTCCACTGCAGCACCAATACTTCTGGGTGAAACCCACTCAGCAGAAAGACACATGATTTCTGCAGTTAAAATTGTGTATTGTTTTTTATACCTAATAAAAAAGTAAACTCACCAGGGTACAGAAGATGCATTGGCATTGTGCTATTGTTGTCATCTGCTCCACAGGATATTCACCAAGGCAGAGCTTGCAGGACACTAATGGGTCAAGTACCAAGTCCCAGGTAGGCCTATATCTTGCTGTAGTCATTGCAGAACAGTCTGAAAAACAGCACAAAAGTAATGATACTCCATCATCTCCTTATATTGATACTCAGTACATTTCTGCCACTGTAAATCTCATTGTCAGCTGCTGCCTGTTAGCTATTTGGGAAAAAAAAGCTATAAACAGCAATGGCTAATTTGACAGTGTCAGCACTTGCAGTAGGCTATACATCCCCTGCCTGACAGAACATGTACATAGCAAGCAGAAGGAAAAAAACCCCACATAATACACTGACAAAATATGAGAGAAATCAGGAAATATCCGTGGGTCACAGACTTTTGTCTGACATTGTACATGCAAAAATCATTCCCAATTCTGCCATTTCCACCACTAGTTACAAGCTTTCTTTCACCAACATTGATTACCCATCACTTAAAATACATTCTTTAACTCCCACAACTCTAGCTACCCAGGTGAGACTCACAAGGTCTTTCATGAACCAAGCATCTATTATGCCCCTTTTCCAGCCTGATGATATTGTGACTTACAGAGCCAGATATTTTTATTCCTAAGAGCATGACAGATCAATCAGTTTGCTAAGTTAATTTTAGAAATAACGATTAATATTCTGAGTACACTCAGAGTTTTAGTCTGCATTTTTCTCCCAACCCTTGCTATGTGCCAAGAGCACAACTTTGTTGTAGCAACAACCAACTGGGGCAAACAAGAACACAAAGTGAGCTATAAAAAGAGGCTATAATACCTATATATCACCCTCAAGACAGCAATAGGATAGGACCATGCAGAGCATCTTTATCCTAGGCTTCAGGGCCCAGATGGAGAGTTGTCAAATGGCTAACCAGAAAGAAAATCACACATAACAAATGTATTCCCACAAAGAGGAAAGCTAATTTACAAGTTACACACATGGGAAAAAAAAAAAACAAACAAAAAAACGGACTCCCCCCAGACATCTAGGGTAATTTATGTAGTATGTCCAATCTTAACACCATATTTAGTAGTATTGTTTTGTCACTTCAAGTGTGGGAAATCCACATCCTGAGGCTGCTGGAAGGTCCATATTATCTTACCTCCCTCCTTCCCAAAATTAGCTGGTTCTTTACCTTCCCCACACAGGCAGTTACGCTACTCCAACAATGATTACAGCTTTTTTTTTTTTTTCCTCTCATTGGCACTTGCAGCAACTGCTTTTATATATATAAATACATATATATATGTCATATCATCTATGAACTTCCCAAGACCTTCAGAACTGCAACAAATGACTTTTATGCTTATTAGACTAGGTTTAGGCAGATGTTCAAGCAAAACACACTTTTTGCTCCCAAACAAATCACATGGAGAGTTCAAAGAAGTGTTTGTGAAGTCTGAGTCTTTGATGTTCAATTCATTGTGGATGTGACTCCACTAAGGTCTCCTAAATTCTCTGAAACAAAGTGAAGATTTTATATTAGCCCTCCATTCAGTCTAACTCATTAGAAGATGCCATTTAAAAAGTACATAAAGGACACCAAAAGAGTAGAGCCTAATAATACTTATTTCTAGTACAACCATCAGGGAGGAGAGGGGGAGAGAAGAAAGATTAAAACGACCCCATTTCCACGGATGCTCTGGATCACTTCCTCCAAAAGCCCACAGGCAAACTCCACACTCTTTCAAAAGAAAGAGATGAAATAGTCTTGCAGAACAGCACATGAATAACGGCTCCACATCACAAAATAAGACTTGTGCTGTACAGTCTTTTCTGAGACTTTAATGTGAAAGTCTGACATGGTGATATGAATGAAACCCCAAAAGTTTTAAGGCTATTAAACTGCTGCTTTACTGTCAATTGCCACCACTTTTTCATTTAACATAAAATATCAGCAAAAACAATTTTCTTCTTCCAAACTTTGGTTTATCTGACATTTGCAGATAGTAAGTATTTGAGAAGCAGTGATCAAACACACCTGAACTGTTCGCTATTAGTTTGAGTGTCCTTTGCTTGTCCTGCACAGTTCATTGCACATCTGTTGCTTATGGCAGCAAGCAGATGAAACTAGCAGATGAACAATGAAGAGGGATAAATTTAAGTTAAGGATGCACTTGCTTACGTCAGGCAGACCAAAATCCTAGCAAGTTTTACAGCGAAGACGTAATATCTGACACAATTCAGACTTAAAGCCTGCCAAATATATTGATCAATTCAATCCAAAAAAAGAAGTTTATATTTATTCAATGGGGGTCAATAAGTGATGATAAAGGGGACAATATCAACCTTTCAGCTCAAAGGCTTAAACTTGTTCCCTGATCCCCAGGACTTTCAACAGAGGCTTACTGGTATCACTGTGGTAATTCCTCTTTTGCAGCACAACTGTACTGCAGTAACACTTCACTAGGAAGTATTGCTCCTCTTTGTCTTCTCCTCCAAAGCAAAAGTGAATTAAAGTGAAACTTTCAAGCTGGCATCTAGCAGGCCAGCAGAAGTTGGCTGCCCAGTACAGTTGGCATGTAATCCACGATGAGCTCAGCCATGGTGATAACAGAACGCAAAACCTGAATGCAGCTTCAAGTGGCAGCAGAGCCACTTCTGCTCAGCTCTCCTTGCCAAACACCTTCTGCTGAGACAGTAATACGTGCAGCAGAGGCTGATTGCCTCTATTCATAGGGGTGCATTAAAAACATGCTTCGTTGACTCCTAAAGGTTTCCATCCCACACTGCCAAAGAAAACAAGTTCCAAGTCACCAAATTAGTCTTATATTTATTTTTTGTACATCACTTTTTCAAATAGAGTAACAAATAGTACAAGATAGCATTGTATCACTTTACACCTTTCACTTTAGTCTACTGCAGCATTATATGCATAACCTCAATTACACACTAAATCTATGCTAAAATAGTCTTTAGTTTTAATAATCATAGAATCATAGAAAATGAAATATTACATTCACATGCATGGGAATAAGCATCTGTTGTCACTGGTGGCATTAAAACAAGGATCAAGAAATCTGCCACCTAGCCTTGGAAAACACATATAGAAAGCTACCACATCCCAGTGGAACATCTGCTGAGTATCCCTGTAAAGGAACACAAGGAACGAAGCTTTCCAAAGCACAGACTAGATCTTGCTTCATGATCATCTGGCACACTGTTGCAACTAAATAATAAACTTCTGTGTTTACACCATGATGCTTAAGAAACCCTTAAAAAAAACCAACAAAAACCACAAACTCTCAAGAGAACAGCAAAGAAAAGCTACCTTCTGTCAAAACCAGATTAAGACTCCAAGGGTTCCATAGCTGTGGTCTCTTATAGCTTCAGATTGTATTCTCATGCCTTCTAGTGACATGCAATGCTTCAGGAAGAATGTAAAAGTAACAGCAAGAAGAAAGAGAAGGCAACTGAAAGGACCTCTAGAGGAACAAAATATAGAAAAATACATACTGGTATGCCCTCATGATGAAGGTCACTGGTTACAGCATCAGCCAGCAGAAAATTTTGCGTCATGGTTTGGCTATCTGCCAGGAGGCCCCAGGAAATACAGCTAGTAAAGGTACAGAACTACAGTCCAATCCATCTACTGAACAGATTTTAGCCCAATAAATTTTTAGTTCATTAGAGGTTTAGTGTTGATTACCAAACTCAGTACAACCATCAATACTTCACAGGCCGTGATAACAGTAAACCAGAGGAGAAGTTGGTTGTCAGTTCAGACTCCAAATTCTACTGCAGTCAAGGTCAGTCTCATTTACATATTTTTGCAGACTGTGGTCCACATCTGGTAATATTGTATTTGTAAGAAATATGGTCATGCAGCCCATCATTTTCTAGGACAGCATCCCAAAGCAAGCTGGGAGTAGGAAGCATAGAAAACAGCTTTAGTAATAATTTGTTCAGAGTCGTCTTTTAATAAATAATCAACAACTTAACTACTGACTATTTAATTCTGCAACCATGTGCATGTCCACAGAAAAAAGGAACCACTGCATAAAGACACAGAAGTGACTGAAGTCTTGTTGCTGTAACATGTTAATATATTTAAAACGTGACTGTTACGCATTCTGGGAGACTGCTATGGAGGGGAAAGGAATCTTCCATTATTTCTGCACAACAATTAATGAATTAAGTGAATACAAACTGGATTTCTGAACAGTAATCCCTTAGTTTTTTGGTCCACCTACACAGACTACATTTTCAAGTGAGAACAAATGGCTGACTTGATCTCTGGTAAGTCAAGAATAGAACAATTCTTTTTTTCCAGGCTTCAAGAAGTTGCAGAAAACAGTGAAACAGAAATAATGTGAAAACATCTGTGAAAAACTGTGAAATCAGGAAATAATGCAACCTTCTTCCATGCAAGTCATTCAAGAAATTATAAAACAGTATGATTTTTCTCATTGCACTGTAGTAAAGTATTTCATGGCACAGTACAGTCAAAATGTAATTGCATCAAGTTAACACTTCATGGATATATATGACTGGCTATGTAAGAAAAATGTGACTAGAAAATACGGTTGAATAAAATAGTCATACACAGCACACTAACTAGTGGGTCTTTTTCACCAAGCAGGACCAAAAATAGAGCTTTCAACAGAATTAAATTTCAGCTTTAGATCAGGGATGGGTTTAATTTCTAAATAAGGGCTTCAGTCCCCTCTCCTACCAGACAACTAGTTAATCATGTACAAGTCATCTGCCTGAAGGAGTTACATTAATCTGAATTTACTAACATGATGGAAAACAGCTCTTTTAGAAGCCAAAGAAAGGGATTTAAATGGGATTTAAAATTGGTTCCCATTCCTGTTGTCCCTCTTTGATTACATCTAGTAGCCTGGATTATTTTAATTAGAGTTATTTTGACAAACACATCTGCTATAGTACAGGGTTTTATCTATTTTTATAAATAAATATATATATTTATATAATCCAGGCTACACTTCTTCCTAAATGAAGTCAAACATATCTGCCATAGTACAGTTTTATATTTTTATATAAAGTATATTTATATTAGATTTATACATTTGATATTTAGAAATGTATAAAA